AAGCACCTGTTCAATCCTTTCATTTTACAGATGAGCACACTCAGATGTGACTTGTCGAAGGTCACAAAGCAAAGCAGTGACAGTCCTGCGACAAGAAAGTGCCTGACTCCCACCCCAGTGCTTTTAACATCCTGGCACCTGGCCAGGCTCCTCACTCATCTAAAGCAGTAATGCCTGGCTTCATCCCAGCAGGTGGGAGGGAAGAAGGGCAGCTCCCTGGAGTGGCGGGAAGACCACTCAGTGGGCCGCCATCTAGGAGGGAGTCAGTCTGGCCCAAACATGACCATCAGCATGGACTCCTGCCTTGAGGCAGGAAGAAGAGGCACCCGTTAATCACCTTACCCCACTTCCATGGTACACATGGGGAAACAGAGGCTGCAGAGAAGCACACCCAGCCAGCCAGAGTACAGCATCAAGACTCAGACCCCGGGTTTTCTGACTCTGTTTCTCTCCCAGCTTCATTGGTCCAACTGCGCAAGCCACTTGTATTTGTGTTTGGGGCCGTGAGGGTCTGCCTAGGGACACTGTGAACCTCCCAACTTTCCCCAATCCTTGACAATGACACAAAGATCTGCTCCCCTGTCCCCACCATGCATTGAAAAGGGCCTCCTGAAGCTGGGCTTACTCAACCCTCCCTTCCTCCCTCTCCTCTCAACTCCCTAAGATCAAACAGGCAAAACCCCAAAATATACACATTGCCAGATACACACACATACAGCCAGACACACCCCCCTCCACCTCTCACACTCAATACACACAAGGCCAGATAGACATGACACGACCCCCACCCCCGACACACACACATACACACACAATCACAGCCAGACCAGAGCCAGGATCATCCTCACTAGATGCAGGAGCCATCCACATCCACCCCCAACCTAGAAGCACACAGCCTAACATCCCTGCCTGGAACCAGACTCTGCAAACACACACTAACCTTTTGTATGCCCCGGTCCACCCAGGGTAAATTATAATGTAAGTCTTCCAGTAACAAAGGCAGTTCAGCTTCCAATGTCAGCTCTGGGGACCAGAGGCTGAAGGGCTGCAGTGGGCATCTGACCTGCACAAAGCTGTACCCTCTTCCTGTTCCGGCTCTCTCCATTCCCATGACAACAGCTCCATCAACCAAGATCTCCCAGGCAAGGCCAGGGGCAGCAGAGTCCCCCTTCCTGCCCAACCCCCAAGACTTCCACTTGAACCCTACCCAGCTACACACGGTCTGGATCCTGGGGTCGGTTTCCTGCTTCATTCCAAAGACAGTTCTAAAGCCTCAATCCCCCAACCCCCAACCAGAGGAGCTCGTGGGAAAACCTTCCCACCAAAAAGCTGCAACAGGGCTGGCTTTATGCTCCAAGTAATAACACCTTGGACCAGAGTGGTGGGGGAGGGAGGAGAGAAATTAAAGAGTTTCAGGAACAGAAACTGCCAGAGGTCCCAGAGGAAGAGGCATCAGAACAGAGCGGGGAGGGGACAACCAGGAGACAGCCCCTCCCCTCGACACAGAGAGCTCTGGAGAGCCTGAGGAAGCGTGGGGGACACTGAGGGACAAAGATCTCGGGAGGCGCTGGGCAACACTTCCACAATATTCATTGGCAAATTAACCCGCCTCCAGGTCGCCGCCTCCCACCTCAAGCCAACCGGAGCGATTACGGGCAGACGGGCAGTGGGGGAGGGCGAGGGACATGCCCGGGCCCACGGTGGAGACAGGCAGGGGGTGTCTGCTTGCCCGGGGGTCCCACGCCCTCAGAGCTAGCAGCAGGAGGGCGTGCGGAGGGTGGGGTGGCTGGGCGTCCCAGGGGAATGGGGGCCAGTTTAGCGGACCCCCCTGCTTCCGATGGCGATGGGAAATATTGCGATAAATTTCCCTCCATCCCCATTCTACCCCCTCTGCCCGGGCTTCCCCAGGGGCCCATGTCCAAGGATCAGGAACCCCAGTTACCGGGTAGCCGCTCCCACCTTCCCTAGAGCCAAACTTTCCGCGGGGCCGCGGGAGGGGTGTTCGGGAGGGAGGCTTTGCTGAGGTGGTTCAGGGAGGGGGCGGGGCGCCGGCGCCGGGACGGGGAGCGGGGACCGGCTGGGGGAGGTGCCCGAGAGGACCCGGGCCCGGGCGGGGAAGGGCGCCCTCCCCCGGCCTCGCGGCCGCCCCAAAGCACATCCCCTTCTGCCGGCCCCAAGTCCCTGCGCGTCCACAACGCCCCAGTGCCCATGGGAGAGGGTCCCCTGCCCAGACGGAAAAGGGGGCAGATAGGGCAGAGCAAGGGGCGGTTTTGGCTCGTGGGGAGCGGCGACCCAACCCAGCGCGCAGCCCGCAAGCCCTCCCGGCTGCCCCGGACCTTCCCCCTCGCTACCTCGGAACAGGGTCTGCCCGGGGGCTGCTGCACAAAGAGGTGGTGGTCGAGGGAGATGCCAAATCGTTAAGAGGGGGAGCCCGTTTCGGCCATCTTGGAAGAGAGGAAAGGGAAAAAGGGACAGAAAAAAGGGAGAAAGAAAGGCGGACGGGGCAAGCTGGGCTAGGGGCTGAAGAGGAGCGGGGGGTGCGAGGGCAGGATCGGCTCAGAGCCTCCCCCTCCCACCCGGGCTTGCAAAGAACGGCCGGCCCCCCATTCCAATCCCCAGAGGGTTACAGGCCAGGAGAGGGAAAGGAAGGGGGAGTCTGCTCCACTTACCTGGGTTCGGGGTCCGGTGGGTCTCGGGGAGGGGGGGATGGGAGG